TCCAGAAGAAATCAAGTGTCACCCAACATTCGTTCCAGCTTTTTTCATTCTATTGTGTCAATAAGACTACTGATTTGCCTTGGACATTGGTACATGTACATCATATCTTCGCATCAAATTTGCACCTCTCTCAAATGGCATGGGAACCTTAAAAAAATTTCAGTTGTATTTATCAAATGGGTTTGACAGGTTTAAATGATCCGACAGTTGAAGTAGCTTGCACAAGCAAATATGCAATGCAAGCCTCAAAGTAGGAAATATACGTACTAGAATGCAATTTGCTGCATTCAGTAAAAAGGAGACGAAAGTGTCCAAATTTTTTTTATAGAAGAAATTCCATTAAGAAGAGAAGAAAGTATAGAGTTGAAGCGTGAAACATATTTAATCCTAGATAACAAGCACAGTCTCAAGACAGAATAACCGATGAAAATTCCTTTTCAAAAAAAGGGGGAAAAAAACTAGTCAGTGAAGAAGAGCAGTCCAATCTCTTTGCATGTCAGATATAATGAATCCATTAAAGAGACCACATGCAAAGCGCTAAAGATAATTCCATCCCGTAATAAATTTGAAGGCAAAGAAATGTCCAGGTTTAAGCAGCCTTGCAGGATATATTATAAATATATAACCATACCTCGTTAATCTTTGGGGTGGACCAATCCCCAGTAACAGTGAGCTGGGTTATTTCATAACGAGAAGGCATGCAAGTTATCATCAAGCTTCCATCTTGACAGCTTTCCTCCTCTGAAGTAGGATCGATAACAAGGTTTTTACCGAGACAAGACTGGGACCAAAGAACAAATCAATGCTACCATTATAACATGTTAAACAAGTCTCTTGGAGCAGCAAAGTCAGCTAGTAAGTAAAATTTGGTATCTTCCAAAGAATTATTGCATGTAATCCTATGTGCCATTGTTTCATAGAATTTGGTAACTCCAGAAAAGGAGCAAGTTGGGGTGAATACAAAAATTTTAAAATACAAAAAGAGGTTTTGATAGGCTGCAAGAGAAGAAATAGTAAATAATTTAGCAAGTTTGAAGCTACCACTAACTCTGAACAGGAAAGAGAAACAAATGACAAAGATGATAACATGATGATAGTATAAAAAGACAATTTAATGGGGTAAAAATTTAAAGGAGAGGTTAAACAGTTTAGGCACCCATCAGAACAAGCACGGATTGGAGAATGCAGCACATATGAGCAAGATCCATACCACAGAAACTGAGGCAATAAGGTCATACATCATTATTCCAGCATCTGCTAGGGCAAGGCTAGCACATGATATAACAACTGGGAGATCACCTGACACAAGCTCAACAACATTACTACAGCTAGAAAGTAGAAAATTATCTACAGCTAGACAGTAGAAAAGTATAGGCCGTTTGAAGCTTAATTATTGTAGAATGGTATCAAATCAAATCACACAACTTCTCCATCTGATCCAAGTTTTAAAAAGATTATTCCTCATAACTTGTTAACTTTACACAGACCAAAAGAAAATATTCATACGATGAAAGCACCGTTTCTCAAACAAGTTACTTGCGACCACTAAGACATTATAGAAAATAAACTCTGCTTCTAATATGTTATCAAAGCCTATGCAAGTGCTTTAATGAAAGAAGAATGTTTTCACATTTACGCAAGTCAACAAAGATTGGTTGAGACAACACATAAATGACTGACAACGAGGTAGACCAATGGATCCTGTAGAAACAACATTATGAAACTGCAAACTTACTGCCACCAGATTCCAGTACCAATGCAAAAACATCCACAGTAGTCTTGGGAAAAGTTTCCAACATTATTGAACCCTCCAAAGCCTTATGAAGCATCGCAGTGTATTCTTTGTTGTCCAATCCCTAGCTTGATATGTTTGAATATTAATTGCCACTTGAGATAGCAAAGAGAAGGCCAAGATAGAAGAATGCAAATCTACAATTATTTCATATACCTGACCACGAACTGGAGTTGCAAATGTTGTAAAGCTTACATTGCAATTTAGACGCCCTATGTCACTGTACATCATGGCCTTCTTACTCTCCCTTGGCCCAAACCTGTATTAAAGAATGAAAATAATGTATTTGTGTTAGCTAGAAACAAGCATCCTATCATGTACTTATAACTAAGTACGCGAAGTAAAATATTCACTTACACAGATACAATGACTTTCGTGTTTCCAAACTCTGCATAAGCAGATCCAGAGGCAGCATTCACAGCACCAGTTCTGAAAACTGAGCCACCAAAAAAATGTTCTCCTTAATAATAAACTTTTGTTCAACAAAAAGACCAATGGGACAAAGATCTCGGATCAGCAAAAAGATTTTAGAGTAAAAAGAGAGAATTTAAGATATCCACTATTAAAATTCTGTAAACTTCAAATTTAAATACCCTAATCTCAAGTTCTACAGAAAATCTACATTCAAACATAATGAATGGTTACAACTTGAGAAGAATTTTAAGTAGAAACATTTAAGTCAAAGATAAGTGGAACTCACCCCGATAATGAATAAAATGCAGGTACTGCATTTATTTAATGATAAGTATTCTGATGAGTAATTTTAAAAATTTCATTCCACATGCACCCTAACATTTTCTCTCAGTTTCTTGTATTTAATCTTCCACTAAGCTAGAAATGCCTAACAAACGAAGCCATGAGAACCTCATAACCAACAATAAGTAGCAGTTCTACACTACCAATTATCACAAACTTATTCATATAGAAACCTTATCCTAGTGATACTTTCCAGTTATATGTAAGGCTTAAGCTTAATATGCCAAAGAGTGGACAGAAGGACCGCGCATCATTGAATTAAAATGCCACCTCAGGATGATGAGAGTTCTACATCTACACAACTTGGAGGAATGAAAACAAATTCGCCTTTTAAGGAACCAATCTGTTTCAACCAGAAGAAGCTGAAAACAACTAGTAAAAATACAGCGACAAACTCCATTAAGAAGCGAACAAGTTTCCTGATCCAGTTAGCACAAACATAAAAAACATCTGCCAGGAACAATTAAGTACATGTATGATATATGCATCTATAACAAATAATTTGACTCCCATAATGATGCCACAAAATGCGTGCTCTAGTAAGTTCACTTTAAAAAGAGCCAACTTGAAGCCCCCAAGCGATAGAAAGCAAGCTTAAACACTTATACTGCATTCGGACCTAATTAACCTAGCAGACGCCGCATGGCGTGTCTTTTTCTATCCAGCATATTGAGAAGGAAAATACTGATTATATTTTTATGATGAAAAAGAGGACAAGGAAAACCGATGAAATACTCCAGTGAATCAATTTGATCTTATCAACTTTGCATAGAGCAGAAGCTTAAAAACAGCATTCAATATATCACGATCAAGCTTACAAGCCCACAGAGAAAACCCAATAAAGAATAAACCATTACAAGAACGCTATCACCAAACATTAACTCATTAAGTATACAGAAATGTTTCAATGGCTTACAGGCAGGCCTGCACTGGTGGAAGCCACGGCCATCGGGTCGGACCCAATCGTCATTGAAAATAGGAGCCTTGGTTTTCTGGGTGGTCGGAGACGGCGAGTAGGTCGTCGAAGTCGTTGCAGCTTTCCCGGCCATTCCCAATGACGAACCTTCTCAGTTGCTAAAAGTAGCGAATACTGTGTCCGGCACACAGTGAGCCCTGCTTAACACGACGCAAATACAAACGAACCAAACCAATACCTTTTTTTTTTAATTAAAAAAAGTTTCTGCTTTAGAAAAAATCTGCTATTTATATTTTGGCTAGAATCTTCTAAATTAAAAATATTATATTTTTATTGTCGTTTTTATTTAAGCTTTTGTAATTTATTCAATACCGAGCACAAAAGCATAGATCACAAATTTAAAATAAAACCGAACAGGGTCATATTATTCCTTTTTTTTTTTTCCCCGTGTCATATTTATGCACACATAGATAATTAAATTCAATTCAACTTTGTATTTATATACAATTTCGGCATAAACCACAAAATGTTTTTGCATTATAAAGAATGCATACATAAGAAGAGGTAAGGTAACGTCATGCGATATTTACATATATAAAGAAGATGAAAGCCGTTGGTCAACGTAATTTTTAAAGATTTCTTGACCAATAAAATTGACGGTCCCTGAAAATTTTTATTTGAAAGTACTTAATCATCTCTAGAAATGAATATTTTTAATCGAGGCGTCTAAAACAAAGGTGAGGTTCTCTTCAAATACAAGAACAAATCATATAAAATTCGATTTTAAAAATTTTAAATTAAACAAGTTTAGTGATGACGGTAATTTTCTAATTTTATTTTTTTATAAAGTAAATATCAAAACTATTTAAAAGTTCTTTTTCTTTAATTTTAATAATAGTTTTGGCCCTTAAAAATTATTTAATATTTCAGTAATACTCTTCTAATCCTTAATATAAGTTAGGTAAGTCACTTAATTATATTAAGAAAATTAGATAAGTTAGTTAATTATAACAAATATGATATGATTTTCCTAAAACACCATAATCATTTTTCTTAATATCTTCTCTCTCTCATTTACTTGATTATATAGGGATAATTTAGAAAACATTAATAAATATAAAAAATAAATCTTATATTTAATATTAAAATTAATTTAACAATTAAATCTTATATTAGGAAAAACAATAAGTAATGTATGGGAGAATTATATTATTGATTGAGCATCATGCTCCGCTCGACAGCTCATCTCTCCAACTTGATACGGCATCTAATATTCCTAAAATCAAGGTTTGTGGTGCGGAAACTACGTCTGTCTTCAAGTCACTTCGTGTCAGAAGAAAATCACCAGATCTTTGTTGGTTACTATACGAATTGTGTCAGTGATCAATTTTTGCAATTTTCAGTGCCATCTTTGTTCCTGCCAATATTTGTTATGAAAAGATTTTTTGTTTTTTTTTGAGTTTTTATGACTTGTCTTGGTGCTTACCACCGTACTGGTACTGGATCAGATGGTCCGACAAAAAAGTTCTTGAGACCTACGTTCCGTTTTCTGGTGGGAGATGCGAAATGCTCCCACCACCTCAATCTTATTTCTTCTTCCATCAAAACAAATATATCACTTCAAATATACAAGTTCCTATGACCAAAATCAAAACAAACCTTCTAGTGAGCTTGTATGAGCATCTCGTCCGATCCCTCTCATAAATAAAGCAGAATCGGAATCTCATGTGCTTTTCTGTGCAAGATAAGAAAACCACGAAAATATTTCTGTGCTTCCCTAACAGCACACCTCTATGTGCTTTCCTTCTTTCAAAAGAGTGGAAAAATTCAGATAAACAAGTCAAAACCGAGTCGCTCTGTGTAATATACCCTGTTGGAAGGTGTAAGTTTTCAAGGAGAATTGCTGTTTGTCAGGCAAAATGATTCGAACCGAGGCTCAGTTAGGTCTACGGTTTCATCATCTGATCCATGCCGACCCTCTTTTTCAGAAGTCAAAAGGATCAAACTCTCCATGTACTCAGATGAAACTGTTTCTACTTCTTCATTTTTGTTCCCAACATTCATATTGTGGTTGATACCTAATGGCAATGAATTTTGATTCGAAGATTCACTAGATGGAGCTTGCATTTGATTTTCTGCATCCTGAGGTTCCTGTGCGTTCGCACATGTCCAGAAAGAGGAATGATGATCAGGAGGATATGTTTACCTTTTTACGCTATTTATGGAACAAACTCAGAAGTAAGAAACGAAGACTTCGCAGAAAATGAGTTCACCTGAAAAAGGCTCACTGGAATGTTTATTCTCCTCCTAGATTTATCTGGTGATATTGTCGAAAGAATTTGAACAACTTCCCTCATGGTTGGCCTAGCATCAGGATCCAGCAGCAAACACTCCTTGGCTAAATATGCCATTACCTGCACTTCTTCTTCAGAGTAGTTTCCATTCAAATGCGGATCGGCCAACTCTGTTACTACTCGCTTACTATCTTGCAAGCGAGGTGTAGCCTATAACAGAACAAATGCAGACGTGCTATATCAATATTTGAACGTCCATATATTTTGGTTGGATTCATAAGCAACAAATGAAATTAGTATTAAAGCCCGGGCGACTACAAATGCAAGATTGTGATAGGAAAATCAGATGCGGGGAAAGAATGCAGAACACTAGATAATTGGTAGAAAGTGAAGTCCAAGAGATTTTCAGCTAATATCACATTATAGCATAGGCAAAAGAATTGGGATGGAAGATCTTCTCAATATGAAAAATGAAACGTTCAATATTAACTTGGTAAGTATGATGTAGGCTACCCATATAACCAGGCTTTCTTCTTTGCCCGTGGATTTATGGATAGGTTGCCGACCACTCAAGAGCTCAAGAAGAACCACACCAAAACTGAAGACATCAGACTTAGCAGAGGCTCTTCCAAATATTGCATACTCAGGTGCAAAATAGCCAAACGTCCCCTGCATTCTTGCTGGAGAATTTGAACAGCTTGGGGGTTCATCAACTCTCAAGTTTTTAGCCATACCAAGGTCAGTTATCTGCAAGTTGATATAGTCAAAAGATTATAAAATGACGCCTTTTTGAATTGCATCATAAATAACACCTGTGGCTGACTAATTTAACTCCATATTTCTCAAGAAACAAAGACTTCAGAAGATTTCCACAATAAATATGTGAAGTGTTGGATAATAGTTTTTCTTTTTGAAAAAAAGAAAAGAAAAAAAGAAACACTTAATAGCAGTTATATTATTTTCCATTTAATATCCCCCATTTCGATTGATATTAACTAGGGGAACACCTATGGCTGACTAAGTTATCTCCATATTTCTCAAGAAACAAATTATATATTTTATACTAATGTTGATTGATATTAATATTGATATTGACGATGATCTTAGGTCCATACTTTTGCCTGCCAATTTTCATCCAGAAGAATATTAGTCGATTTGACATCTCTGTGCAGAATTCTTGGAGCAGCCGCCTCATGGAGATATTCCAAGCCCCTTGCAGTGCCTATTGCAATTGTAACCCGAGTAGCCCAATCCATAATTTCCCCAGAAACTCCATCCAAACAGTCCCTCAAATTGCCATTGGCCATGTACTCAAATACTAGTAGCCTTTCAACATGTTTCCCTTTTAGTTCTGAACAGTATCCAAGTAAAGGCACAAGATGGCAATGATGGAGTCTAGATAATAGTTCGATCTGCAAAAGGAACACATTGCTAACTGTTCATCATTTATCTAGATAAGAATTACAACATAATATGATCAGCCAAAGGCAAAGAGTACTAATATAACAATATTACGTTAAACGAACCTCTATTGAAAATACAGAGTCGGCTTCAGGCCCTCCTTGAGATTTTAGTCGCTTAATTGCCACATTACTACCATCTTTCAGCTGACCGCGATATACATAGCTACTTCCACCTAGTCCAATAAGATTGGAAGCTGAAAAGTTTTCAGTTGCATTTTCCAATTCAGCAAATGAAAATTGAATAATTTTGCCATAGAAAGTCTCTGTTCTGCTCGCAAACAAGAAGGAGGCCTTCTTAAAGCACCCTACATGGATGGAGAAACAGAAAATGGTCATTAAGAACTAAAGGACAATGGCATGCTAATTGCTGAAGGAGGATCTTAATATTTTAAGTCAAGTCACAGAAGCTAAAGACTGAAAAGACCCTTGAATTAAGAAAATGACATGAAACGAAGCACCAACTGACCTGTAATATTATTAATGGGAGAATTTATGGCAATTTTTGTTTCTAGAACTGATGAAGTCCTGTTACTAATTAGGTTGGTGGTACTATTGCAACTCGTTTCCTTATCTGATGAGAATATAGGCGGTTGAATAGGACATCGTTCCTTCCAGCAGACATAGCATGTGAACGAGGCAAGAAATGCAATAGTTGTACATACAACGCATGCTAATAGAATGATTATTATAATCCTGCTGGATATGTGTTTCTTTGAGTCTCGTGACATGGTGAGAGATCCTACATAGCATTCATAAAAACATAAGCTTCATTACTAAAAGAGACATACACTTGACTTTCATTTCATCAAAACAAAAGACGGGTATATCATCATCCCTAGGACTAATATAATTAAAGTTGACAGGAAAGAAAAAGAGAATGAAAAAACCAAAAAAAGAAGAAGAAGAAGAAGAAGCTATAGATGTGGTGTTTTCCAGTAAGAATAAACCGTCTGTTATCAAAATGTAATGTATTAATTCTCCAAGATAAGGTTTTGTACCCAGAAAAGCTAATCTTCTAATATAAAAATGCTTCAAGACTGATAAATTCAATGTAATAATCAACTGTTAGTGAAATTATTTCGAAAAGAATGAAGGAATAGAAGGAAAAAGAGAGTATACCCCAGGTGCAGTTGCAGGCTGTAAAACAATTAGGACCATGTTCGTCTGCTGCCACTTTAGGAAACCCGTTGGGATCACACATGCATGTCCATATAGAAGCACTCTCTTTCGCATCTACAGTGAAGATAAAGAAGTTACTGGATAGTATTCAGGCCCTGATCATAGTATCCTTTAATTACCTATAATGGATAACATATTATGCGTTCTTACAGAGAGCATTTTGGTTACTAAGAATGGAGACCTCTCTTTGCCATATCTTGCATTCTTACTGAAGCATACCTGAACGACAATCACAGGACGTAGAACAGTTAGCAATAGAGTCCTGGTTCCCTTGGAAAGAACATCTACATTCCCACTTGCTATGGCCAGAAGTATCAGATTGTTGATCTGCCAGGAAAAATTCTGAGTGAGAAAAAGATTTGCGGCTCATTTGTTTTGTACACTCCATTGATGACTGAGAAGAAATGTGTACATTGTACAGAAATCCTCTAATCCTCTAAATGTATCAACAACAACATCACGTCCTCAAAATTAGACAGTCGAATTCCAAACAAAGAACAAATTGTGACACTGACCACAAAGTGAGCATCGAAGCAAGATCAAGCAAACTGCAAAAGAGAGAACAACTTCGAGTTGGGGCTTCATTTATTCCAATCCATGCACCGAAGCAGCTGATAAAACTGCTATTAAGTTGCCATTCTGAATCTAATTCGCCGCTGAAGAGATCGCGATTGAAGAGGACGATGTGACTTCAACCGGTGAGCCTTTACGAAAGAGGATTTACCCTTCAAATTCCCTGGGTTAGTTCGAAATCGGTGGAAATAAAGAAGCTAAGTTAGCGATATAGTGAATTAAGTAAAAACGACGGCATGCAGCAATCCATAAATAGACAACCGCCCCCCTCTCCCCAACGGGTTTCATTTTCACTTGTTCTATGCCCCAGAGATAGAATGCTGATCATTTCATTTTTGATGCAAAAGTTGTTCTCTTCTCTAACCAAAATTTAGGGGGCCCATCAATGCATAGAAGGTAAAGAAAGTAGGAAAGAATAAATTCATGTTTGGCCAACAAACACTCGAATCAACTTTATCCCTCCTTCAAGCGGAAGATATATGTGTGTATTTATCTATCTATCTACATATACAAGTAAGGTGTACATCGACCCGATAGTAAATATCAATTTTCAACAACAAAGAAAGCTCAGTTAGTAGCTATCTACGGGGAGGAATAGCTGGCTCATCTAAATTAACAACTAAATTTCATAAATGTTCGATTGAAGGAGAACCCACACCCCGATTATATTGTTAATATTGTGTATGACAATAAAAAGGTTAGTGAGCTGGTGAGAAGAATCGTGCACAAATGATTTAACCGAAAAGAATCCGGAGCAACTGTGAATGATACCACAGTTTGCGCTTGAAACTCTTCTCCAAACGAGAACTCTAGATTTTATCCGGAACTATGAAAAACCAAGAAAAGTTCTTTGGTAGAACCTGCATAAATAAGATAGCGAGCATGAAACAGCAAAGCAATGAACTTCCTGCATACAAAGATTGATGCAACGAGCAGAGTCTCTATTCCTTTTTTCTCGCTGCTCTAAAATCAACAAGTTCACTGAACTGAAAGTATTCCGACGCAAGTGATTTGACTAAAGGGAACTTATCCTCGCCAAGCCAATGGAAACATATGACCCAGCATTTATAGCATGGTAAACCAAGACAGTGAACCGATCACAATCCAAGGCCAAGACTAGGCTGATAAATGACACAGCTAGGAGGATAAAAGCAATGGGTTCATAAAGTGACGCATGAGAGGTAATAAGACTTCCAAAAGAATCATCTACTACCTTGCCGAAATCTACCCGTTCGCTAACTGAAAAGGACCATTACCCTCTACTGCTCAACCAAAACCAGCTTAAATAGTTACTCCTATCTGAGCTCATACCTCGAAAAGAATGATTGAATTGGATCCTAACACAGAGAAAATCTTTTTTACAACATGTAGTCCTAAGTATAAGATGTGTTCTATAGCGTGAATTATATTGCAAAATACATGTTCTAAGAGTATATAGTAGTTTTCGGCTAAAAGAAGAGCTTTGTCATTTATTCGCAGAGTATGATAAGGAAAAGAAGATTAAAATACAGAAATGCTTCCTCTTCGGGAGATGGATATAACGGCCATATGTAACTTTACTTCCAAGTTTCAAAGACATAGCTTTGATTCAGAGTCAGTCAATAAAGTGACCCATAAAAAGAAGTTGGAGACTGAAGTGGTATTATTATAAATCAAACAGAGGTTGATCTAATTGGATCTTTTCTTTTTCTTTTTCTTTTTCCTTTTCTTTTTCTTTCCCAAATTATGTATACAGCCCCCGTTAAAAAACGTTAAACTATTATTCATTACAATTCTGGAAACTATTTTCGTTTTTCAATTTTCAAAATTAATATATACATGTAAGAATAATACTGCGGACTCCCTTAAAAAAGCTGATAGAAGATTTAATACGTATCGATGTAAATTAGTGGGTCTTGCGTACCTTTCAAATTAATCATGGTGGGAATCCACTTGTTTTATGCCGGGGGGGAAAAAAGACAAATAAAACACGAATTTTTTTGGGCGGCAATATACTAGTAATGTGAAATTGAACATACATAAGAGTAAAACATATATTTATAATTTAATTACATGGAAAAAAATAATTTAATATATATCATATTTATATGCAGATAGAAAAGTTGCCTCTTACCTTTCCTTACAAACAATATGAAAAACAATTCATTTAGGGTTGTCGGTTATATTTTAGTTTTTCTCCCATATTTTTTCTTTCTCGTTAAACAAAACATATATTAGTAATTTATACAATGAGTTTATTTGAGAAATCGCCGACGACGCCCGCCCCCCACTCTCTGGAGATTGTGGGGTCAGCGGCTGATTGGATGAATGTGTTGGCCCATCTTTCACTAGGCAGAGAGAATCAAAACGGTTGACTCCCGAATCGTCATTTATATTTATATATTTACAAACCAAAAGTAAAACGCAATCATTTTTCTGGAAATACTAATTGCCAGCCAAAGAAAGTTGCAAGGGAAGTAGGAAACCAATTAGGTGGAGATGATGATAGCTGGACCTGGACGCAACAAGAATGCCATTGTTTCAGAAGAAGAAGGAACTTGAACTGCAGAATTGAGAGAGAGAGAGTGTGCCTCTGCTGATCAGCATCTGTTTTGCCCCAGAAATTGTATAATTTCAAGTATCACCATCAGTAATGATCTGCAGAAATGAACGACTTCATGAGAAAATGCAGCAATTAATATCACGACTTGGAAAAGTGAAAATTGAATACAGTTACAGTGGGGTGTGCAAGTAAAATAGAATTTTGTCATTCATGGGCGAGGGGAGGAGATAGAAGAAGGCACTTACATTATAGGCCGTTGAAGAGTGAAGTAGCGGAGAGAGAGCGGTGGTCCCTTCCTCTGAGCCGCAGCATCAAATCGGTGGAAGATCACGTGACAGGCGGCGCGCCTCATGAGGCGCCCATTGTCTCCTCTATCAGAATCTCAGTTCCCCTGTTTCTCTCTCTGAGACCGACTGAATTAGAAGGGGCGGAGCTTCATTTTTAACCAGAGGGAGTTGAATCCTTTAAAAAGTAAAAAATTCTCGATTATTTTTCCCCGTATCCGACCTTTTTATCTTCAAATTTATTTTATGATCCTTGTTTTGTTGTGCTGCCCCTGTTTTAAATATAAAATCTATTTTATAATGTAATTTATATTACAAAATAAGTATTATGCAAGGCAAGAAGTGAAATTAAATAGCCTTGCATTTAAATGTATGAACATATATAATTCATATTAACCATATAATAACAAGGTCTGATCTCATCAAATGGAATCAGTTATATGAAACATTCATATTAATTGCACAATTTAATTATAATAATTATAAAATTATATAGTCATCCATAAAACTCATCAGAAACTGACCAAAGTCCACAAAAAAGGGAGACTACCCTTTTTTTCCAATCTAAACACCGATCCAACCTGGGGCGAACTTCGGCTACAATTTGCAGGTTTATAATGTCTTTATTGAAAATAACAAAATGCAAACATTTAAACAACTTAAATCCTGTCCTTCCGCCATCCTATTTACATTTACAGTTATTTACTGCCAAAATTAGGAATTTTATCCCCCTGAAACTCCCTACTTCCCATTATACCCACCATGCCAAATTCACAAGGAACAAAGAAGTTAAAAGTAGAAACTTGAAGGCCTTCTTGGAAGATGCATAGGCTGAGTAGAATTTTCCAAATGCTGTCTTTATTATTACTGTCCTCGCTGCCCTTGAGGAAATGATTTAGCAGGGCGGAGAACACGTCGAGGCTGTGGCGTCCCAAAAATCATGGTTTGGGAACGAGTCACCATGTCTACCATGGATGGGGTTTGATATGTTTGAACAAGACTGGTGCTGTCTGTAGAATCACCGCGTGTAGTGGCCCTTTGCGATGAATGGGAGCTCAATCCTGATAGAACATAAGCCCTCCCTGACTGTTCATACACACGTTGGTCAGCCATCCTCTCTTGCATCTCCTTTAGCTCCGCAGAAAGAGCAACAATCAAACGATCACCTGCTTGGGCGGATACAGTTTCGGACAATGCCTTATGACAGCTCTCAAGGATAAAAACTGCAGTAGGTAAATCACCGCGTTCAGCTGCGACTCTGGCCTCAGCCATTGCCTCTGCAGCGCGAAGCCTGTTTCGCTGCCTGTCTACTTCTAATGACACTACCAGTTCTCCGGCTACCTCAGGTCTCTGGATTTTTACTTTGCTAGTTTCCTCCAAAGCCACCATCTCTTTTGTAAGCGGGTCTCTATACAGACTTCTGACGATCAATAATGACATCTCATCACAAGACTTGTCAATAGGAACATTGACTGTCACCAAAAAGTCTCTTTCTTCTTCAGCATACAAATCTCCTACGTTGATAGTAGCCATCCTTGCATCAGCCATCGTGCTGGCTCGGTAACTCCCTGCTTTTACTGAACCCAGTTTCAGAGCAGGGTGTACACACTCAACTTTCACCTGTAGCTCCTGCACCACCACACTCAAGAGTCCTCCAATACACTGTGCAAATGCATCTTGAATTACATCCTCAGCTTCAATGAAAGAAAATGTACCCCCAGACATTTCAGAGATTGAGTGCATTGAAGTAGCATCGTGATCAGCACCAAAACCAAATGCGTGCACTGGTATCTGCAAGCCCACACCATTATTTCGACTAATGGATCTTGGGAGCAGTGATGGATAGGTTGTTCCAGCGTTGGGCCTGCTACTGATTGTGTATGTATCCTGACCATCAGACAGCAATATAATACTGCAAACTGGGTTCTTCCATTGGCGGTCTATAAACACCTTGGCACCTTTCCTCAGGCCCTCAGCAATATTTGTCCCCCCGCTTGAAATTAGAGAATTAACAGCCTGCAATGCCTGCAGTCGTCCAGTTTCAGTCATCCGATGAAGTGGAAAGATACGGCGGGCTGTAGAAGAGAAGGCAATGATAGATAGCCGATCTGATGGACCCAGATTCTGTATGACAAAACCCATGGCTCGTTTAAGCAGGGCAAGCTTAGTACCTGCCATGCTACCACTTACGTCAAGGACAGTGACAAGGTCAATTGAAGCACGAGAAGTTTGAGCTGAAGGTGACGATTCAGCATTGTCACTGACGCTACTTTGTTTTCCCCCTGAATGGGGAGCTTTGAGATGGATTAAGACAGCAAATTCATCATGTGAAGCTAATTTCGGAACAGCTGAAACTTCAGGATACGTTCTAATCTCCATGGAATCTAATGAACTGTGATCAGCCTCATTTTCATTGTGGGTAATTGAAGTTTGTTGATCCAAATTCTCATCATCATCAAATATAGCTGGTTCAGTAATATTATAGAGTGACGTGACTTGCCTGTTTGAATCCACTGCTTGGGAAGGAAGCCGTCGTAAGATTGTTGTCCATGAGTTATCTCGGGGCATCTGGTTGATGCGAGGCATGCCATGGGAAACATTACAAACAGGACTTTCAAAAGGCACTTCTTTCCACTTTGCTCTGCAGACAGGGCAAACTTGGTTTCCATGTTTTACGTTAGATGTGATACAGTGAAAATGGAAGGAGTGAGAGCATTCTGCGGTAAAAATGGCATGGCCCTGCCCTGCTTTCATTGTGGTCAGGCATATTGCGCATGTCCCCTGTAGATGATGTAGATGAAAACATCAACATGTCAGGAAAGGAAGGCCATAGACCAAGGGTGCTAAAACCAAAACTAGGAATGTTGGAGTAAATGACAAACATCTTGGTGTGTGCGTGTGTAAACAATCATCCAAAACATAGGACTCTGAACCAATTTTATAAATCAATAACCTCATAAACTTCGTACAGAATGGAAAAACTCCATACCCTCAGACCAAGAAAGAAAAAAAGCATCTCATCACTACTTAAGGAAAAATATTGCTCCCAACAAATAAGGGTCTCTTGGTTTATCTCGGCAGAAGTTTTACTAGCAATTATATTTTAATGCCAAACTCACTAACAATAGACTTAAATCATATAACTTTACCAATAGAGGGTGGATGGGGACTCAAATACCCTCAAGTAGAGTTAACGGTTTGAAGCTTGTAGTTCACATTAGAACTACCCCCAGTTAAAATTGACAATATTGAATTTGACCCAATAATATCAAATATCATATAATTAAATCAAAAAAAGAAATTACACGACTTCTAATGAAGAACCCATTGAATGAATCACCTATAAATATGTTTGGAAGGCATCAGACAAGAATAATTGTGGAATAAAATACCCTGACAAAATAATACGAAAGCATTAATATACTAGTGCGTTAAAATCTTTAATTTCTTAATGTCTCAGCTGTCACATTGCTCTATGAGCTCAAATAAAATCAACGCAAGCTTTTCCCGTTACTAAATTGATTGATAAATGTTAATCGAGAAGAACGTCCGCATCCTTCCCGAAGCTGTTTTTGAAGTAGTATTTTGGACTGGACACCGGTATATAAAGCTGGGATGCGAGACAAGTGAGAAGATATTATTTCTTGTACGGAACTTGTCAATTCATGTCGCACTATTATTGTTAAGGCTTTTTAGTAATTATATTCCTTTTGTGGAACTTCATAACAATTCTCCCTTTAACAGGGGGCTTGATAGGAGCCCAAATGCCCAATCAATGGCAGGCAACACCAGATTCCAAGTTCTAATCCCCCTCCCTCCTGGTGTAAGTAAGAATTTGGACTAAATTCTTTTTGAGCAATGAAAATAATAGTAAATTCAGAAATGAGTAAAGTTGACACATATGCCTTCATGTAGGGGGATACTAATTTAAATATTCAAATACTAAACTACTCGCTCCACTTCATCGGTGGGCTAAATGAAAAGGAAGAAAAACAAGTTCTTTAAATTGGCGAATCTCAGCAACACCTCAAATCCTCAATAAAGCACTCGTATAAATGCAAAGCATGCAAAGGTCACTATTAGTGTCCAGACACTGAACCCTTCTGTCCCGATGCAGGTCCACTACCAAGAGCAGTGCATGAAAAGATGAAATAGAATGCAACCCATCTTTAGCACCGATACCTATCGAGACGCATATTTTACCTAAGCTAGATGATTACCACTACCAGCAAATTTACAACTCAGCAAGCGTAAGAGGTCAACGCTATTTCGGTCAAACAAAGTTAGGAAATCAAGGGAAATTTAACACAGCAAGCCAACGACTTAAAAAAAAAAATACTAGAGGACAGATTGCAAATCCAACATTGAAGCTTTCGAGAATTTTAGCCCAAAAAAAAAAAACAAAACAAAGAAATGTCATCAAAAGAAGGAGAGATCAACAACGATTCATTTTCTCTAGGATTTCTCTTCTATTCATATTTTTCGTCCTGGATGGTTGCAACTTTTTCTTTGTCTGAAGCAGGGGAGTTTCAAAATTTAATGGTATCGGGGTCCCCGTGCTGACAGCATGACATGGAGAGCTTACAAAAAAGAGAGGTATAGCATACATGGAATATTTCTGTAATGAAGCAGAGGAGAATAACGTCTTAAGCAAACGAAGCTTTTTTTTGTAGTTGAGAATCGTTTTTGCAATAGTCAGACAGGTCACATTCTGATATGCCCACTAGTACAATACCCCAACTTGTAAAGTCGAAAGCCAAAGCAAAAGCAAAAATTAACCATTGATTAGACCTGATATGGATGTTTATTTAATAATGTACTTAACATTAATTAATTATCATGCTTAGGTGGGCTTTTATAATTAATTCTCACAAGCCCAGGAAGAAATACATCAAACGAATGAGCCCGGCCCTAACAGTCGCAACTCGCAAGCCTCAATCGGAACCTACCCAAAAGATTCAGTGGAGGAAGAACAAGAGAAAGAAAGGGGAACGGAAAGTACAGACAATTTATTACCTTCTTTCTAAACGTCCAAAAGCAAAATCGGAAATGCTCACCTTGGGTGATTTGGATCCGGATTTAGTAAGCCGTAGACCAGAGGAGGAAGGAGTCAGAGTGGTTGGTCCATGACCAGAGCTATCACCGGAGGGAGAAGCGTCAGACGGCGAGCGAGAATTGATAAATCTTGCTGCGGAGTTGAGAGACGGGGAGGAATCGTCTATATCTCTAGGAACATGAACACACATATTCAATCCAAGAGCCACCTTCAGTTTTCTCCATTTGCTTCCCATATTCTTCAAAGAAGCCCGAGAATGATTAGATATTTAAGCAGCGACCCTCAAAGCTGCGATACGCAGAGTGAAATGTATGAATGATATTAACGATATTGGACCCAAGACGAAGCATGCTAGAGAGGGCAAAGAAACCGAAGGAGATTGCATGAAATAAAATCAAACAGAAGCAGAGGCAAAGAGACGGAGCAAGGCCAAAAACCGAAAAGAGGGAAAGTGAATTTACAAAGCAGAAGGCCTGGCCAGAATCTGGAAGCAAACTGAGCTGGGAGAACAAAACCAAGCTTGAAGCACTTATATTATGAATATCTTAATATTTTAACAACTCTGGGTCAGAACTGCCCCTGGCGTTGTGGTTTATTATCGTAAAAACCAAGGATGGTGGAAGAGATAGTGAAACCGCTCAAGTTTTCATTATCCTCAATTAAATTTTACGCTTTCTTCCATTTCATTATCGTCCGTTCAATAATTTCACATTTGTTTTTGCTTGCAGGCACAATAATCATGAATGACCCACTCCATTTCATGTTTGGGCCCCACAGCTACATGGATTTCGTACAATATTGCTCATCTACCAAATTTTATTTAACTATTTATTTAATTATAAATTTCTTATTTATAACTATTTATTTAAAACTTCAATTTCTTATTCGTCACAATAGTAAATTTTGAGCTGATGTTTGTATACTCTCTGTAAATATATAAAGATCTATGTGGTATTTAATAAAAATTGGTCTCATCAGTACGAAATTAGCGTATAGTTTATAAAGTCATGAATTTAAATCAGGTGATTTATAAAATTAATTAGACATTTATAATTTTTTTGAGATTATCATTTTTTATTACTATCATCATCTGATCTATTTCATCTTAACATGGTAGTAAATAATTTCGAAAAACAAAATTTAACCCGTACTTATTTTTTGAATAATTTCCTTGATTTATGTAAAATAACCATCAATTCTGATAATGGCCCGAAAAAATAACACTCACTAATGGAGATGTGACTCGATTTAAAGTTAATTAAAAAAGTCTATTTGAAACGTACTTGGTTTGATGTTAATAACCATTAATATGGAATCAACGTAAAATCAAGCACTTATTTAATTCGTAGATCTTGATTTAACTTAGAGCTTAGTCAAAGGAAAATTAATGTCATGGGTTTTATTATCACTAAATTTGAGAACATTGCCGCTGGTCAAAAAAAAAAATTTTGAGAACATTGCCTGTGAAGTCATATGAGATGGATGGACAAGACAAGCTAGTAATTCAGTGTGTTTTTTATTATTAAGTATTTATGCGTAGACAGCTAAAAACACGTTCGTCAAAATAAATTTTACGAAAATAAAAATAATTCCAACATATGTTTCATAGATTAAATTTTTCATGACTTTTATGTTTTTTTATGGACGTTAATGAAAAAAATTTACACCTAAACACAAATTGGATCAAAGTTAGCTTTTTCAAAAAAAAAAATCTTTTGGAGTAATTTCTTTTAAAAAAATCACATTCGAATTAAAATCATCTAAACCATCATATAAGAATTCAACACCTGCGTGCACGTAGTCACGGAGCGATGAGTAAACATTTAAATACCAAAGAGTTGTATAAAAAATAATTTGGACAATTTAAATTTAAATTTTTCAGATGACAATGGCAAGATAGGGTATAATTTTTTTTGTTAAAACATAAGTATCCTCTGATTTTATTTGAGGCACTGTCCGGTATTAAATGTAGGTACCTCTCCTAACAGACATTTAAATATTAATTCGTCACGTTACGGGAGATTAATTCTTTATGCTATACCAATCCCGTTAGTGAGAGAGGGTATAATTAGCATAACTGATGAATTCAAACCCCATTGATGCAGAAAAAAAATGTTTTATTTGAAAGGACCGTCAGTGGGCAAAGAAAAGGGGGTTTGGGGGAGAGTAGGATAGATTGGTCAATTTGTGAAATTTGACTTTGTGAACACTGACACGGATATTTATTTGGGATGAAAATAAGAATTGGGACCTGCCACTATTGAGAATTGCCTAGTCCTTTTCATTATCCAAACTTGCATACTGCGTGCTTCCGTCCATAGCCTCTTCTCCTCTGGTTTTGTGCATTCCCGTTACATTATCTCTTCAATTATTTTTTAAAATCTAGTTTTCTCCGAATTCTGGAAATGATTTAATTACTAGTATATGGAGTATTTACTCACGCCAACCTTCAAAATGAAGTTTAACATCAATTAATGCCCGTGTCCAGCCTCACTCAAGTGCTTTACAACTTCTATATTTTACTAACACCCATCTTTAATATAAAAATTAGATAATTAATTTAGTGATATTAAAAAAATTAATTTAATTAGTTATTTATTAAAATATGCGTTGACCATTCTAAATTAGTATCACGTATATTGAAATATCTTTTGGTGAGAAACTCTTACAATTACTAGGAGTATTTTGAAAAAAAAAATAAAGACAAAATAGAGTGATATCTTATATTTAAGACTAAATTCAACTCTTCAATTGGTTCTTTTATTAAGAAGGAGAGATGGTAATTAAAAAGGATCCTTTATTATTTTGCTTCTTTCACAATTACTCTCTCAGTCCTATTTATAAGGCACTTTTAACATGTTTTATAAAGGCAAAAAAAAAAATATATTAACTCTCTATTAAAATATAACAACTTTCTAATGTTGCCCATATTTAATATGTACATCTTTAAAAAAAAAAAAAACTACTTATACTACTCCTCCAGTTTTTAATATATATATGACCTAATTGTTAAGTTAATTTTGGTTCTAAATATAAGAGCTATTTTTTATATTTATCAAAATTTTCTTAAATTATCCCTATAGATACTCCTTTAACAATAATCAAGTAAGTGAAGGAGGGAGGATATTAAGAAAAATGATTATGGTGTTTTAGGAAAAACATGTCATATTTCTTATAATTAACCAACTTACCTAACTTTCTTAATCTAATCAAATTAGTTAAATACGTCCTATATTAAGGATCGAAAGTATCATAAATGAAAAACAAAATATTACATTCACTCTAAAAATTTAATGAAGTAATTTATAAATAAAACTAAGAATAACTTTCTTTTGCTACCTTATAAATAATACCAGAATAGGACTTTGTTTTTGCTTTTTTCCTCCGTTGAAAAATAAAAGAAATAAATCATGCAGTTCTTATCTGGAGGCAAGAGATATGTCTCCCGTACTATTTTTTATTATAAAAACACAGGATCATCGAGGCGCATGATTACGAGCAAGATAGCCTTTGAAGTGTCTAATTTTTACTCGACACATCATCAAACATATCATCTATATGTATATCACTATGTCTGTCATCACGTATATGTTCAGATAACAATGATGCGCCTTCACAATCGATCTTCCCACCTTTTTTGTTAAATTATGAGATACAGGACCATACATAAAGATGAGGTCGATCAATGAAAAGTAACCCAGCTCAGCTCACAGATGAGCTTCTATTTGTATGTAATTAACTAGCGCCCTTTATAGACATGATGGCAAAAGCTGTGTGAAACTACATATAAGTTTTACTGAAGTTTTAGCAGAGCCAGGCGCACCGCAGAGTCCACAGTTCGCAAACATACTCATCACAAAACTCTTCGATTATCAGTATTTACGTAAATTTAGATGTTTAGTCGGCAAGAAATGCTATGATCAAAAGGCATGATTTATTTGTTTTTTTTGGGGGGGGGGGGTAATTTTCTCTGGCTAGGAATAAAATATAAACCAATTATTGGATTCCTTTGCCTTTTTTTGTTGACTTGCCCCAGAAAGTGTGTCAAATTTAGGGGCATACTAAGGAAAAAGATATTAAAAGGCACGAAGATTATTGGGATTCTCTATCAATATATATATATAAACATATATACAGAATCATCTGGTTGATGCTCTCTTACTTTACTGCTCTAAATTAAAGAATGCAGATAGAGATCAGCTCCATCTTTTTAGAAGGGACCCTCCATGGCAAGGAAGAACACGGAAGTAGTGGAAGTATGAATAAAACAATGAAAAAGTTCAAATAGAAAACAAAATATCAGTCAATGAAAATAATTATACATCTTATCCGTGCTTTCTCTTAGTTAAAGACAATTTGCAAGTTTTACATTGGCCGTGATAAGAAAATCCGAAGGCTAGCTGGCTTGTTCCTTTTTTCCCTTATTATGTAAAGTGTAAACTGTACTCCGATCCTTCAGAAGTAAACTCTAGCTGGTCACGCTACTCTCCTAAAATTTTATCCTCTCACATGACAATAAAAATATATAAAATGAAAATAAAAAAGTTAATTTGTACATTTTCAATGCCACGAGGAGCTCAAGATAAGAAACTATTTACTACCTTATGTCTTTAATATAAGAGTTAATTGACTAATTTGAATAAATTAAGAAAATTAGTTAAGTTAGTTATTTTTTATAAAAATATATTGTCTTTCCTAAAATATTATCGTTAATCATGTATGTTGCTAGAATTACAATTTCATGAAATATTTAACATATGCATCTCCTATAATAATTATCTTAGGAAAAAAATAAGATAAATATGAGAGACAGAGTGAGTTAGAATATTATTTTTAGAACTAAATTAAATATCAAACTAACTCTTATATTAAGGATCGATATTGAGATTGAGATGATGTATATAATTGCAGGTCCGTTACAAAATGAATAAAAGATGTAAATGTGAAAAAGCAAGCGCACGTACATTTCAAAGTTGTCGGAATATAGAGATAGCCATAAGTGGGCAAAAATTTAATGGTGGGGATGGGGATGTGAGGGTGTAGTGGTTGTCAAATTGAATGGAAAAGCAAATAAATTAAAGGAGGCAATATTTGACGGTAAGCAATAAAGTTTCAAATGGCATGCATGATCCTCATATAGTGTCCTCAACCAACCACCACACCATACAATGACTTGTCACCATTTATTGTGTGTTTGGCAAGCACATAGCATAAATGTAATAAGAAAGAATTTCAAAAAAGAAGAAGCAAATATTAGATTATTACCCTACTCTCTATTCTTTAAAAAAAAAAATCTAAAATGCAGCACATGTTTTTTATTTCCTTGTTTGACAGATTTTAATTAGTCAATGAAACCATCAGTATCTTGTAGTACTTCTGCAAAAATATCCTGACTTTTCCATATTGATGGGTAATAATATTTAGTGGTTATTTTATTACTAAATTAAAGTGCGTAGGGCTTAATTGATTCCAAAATTCTAGATTTCTAGTCTAAATTTTTTCAAGTTGAGCCTTAATC